CCCTCCATGTATTTCCTGAACTTCCCTTGATTCTTAACCCTTTAACCCCTAAGAGTGACTAACATCTAATTTCTCCTTACAAAATAACCACTGAATCAAACATTAATGTCATGAGAATAATGGAAATGATCACCAACAAAAGAAACTCTTGATTATTAAACAAATTCTCCTTGTTAGCACCACAAGAAATGTATCATGAACAGTATGGAGAATATGTCTACTGATGTTAGGGTAAAAAGGGTTAATTGGTAACCAATTATACTCCTGGATGGAGGGAGTTACTGAGAGGGTTAAATGTCTTACCCAACAACACAAAACAATGATGTAGCTGGAGTGTAAACCCTGTATATTGATCATGAATCCCAGGCGCAAACTAGCAGTTCATTTCATATTAAAAAAAATTCTCTTAGAGTGTATACAAGTGTTTGTCAAAACAAAAAAAAAATCTGGAATTCAGAGTTTCAAAAAATAAATCATTTGTCATATGATTGTTTCCTGTAAGATGCTTGCAGTGAAAATTCCCTGAGTGGTACATTCTAAAAGAAAGGGCTTATTTCCTAAACTGACCAACTTTTACCCTTGCAAAGCAGATGTTGTTTGTCATAATTTCCCACAAAATTTTTAAAGATCATCTCCATCAATTATGTGTGAGATTCTCAATGTGACCAGCCTGATATATTGACTCTTCTTGTAGCTTTGCTTTTGAAGAGCAAAAACAATTGGGAGGAGAGTAGAGATAATGACAGTAAATGATGTTATTCAACGCTGTTAATGTTTACAGAGGTTTTTCTTGTTTCGGTAGATTCTGTTGTTCTGTATTTCAACAGCCATCATGATGTACCTTTATAAGTAAGTAGTGCTGTGTTTAAAAAATCTCTTTCAAATACTCCCTTAACTTAGAATCAAATTGCATGTGTCCATCACCCACCTTTAGGCCTTATTAACCAGCTAATTTGCTTTATACATAGCTGTTTACCTAGGGCCTTTCCACTTCAGCAGACAAAACAAGAACTGTTGTGAAAAAATCAAAGGACAAATTTGTCATGACAAATTTTTGTTTCATCAGTTGCATTTGGATTAAAAATTTCAAAGCTGTCAAGTTCTGTCAGCACCTGTTCTGTTCACAAGACCAGCCATAAAGGATTCCACCTCCAATTTCCTGGATTTATCTGAAATCATTTAAAAATTTTAGAAGCCCCAAGTTTTGCAACAAAAGAAAGTTTTTACCTGTCTAGTAGACTGATTTCAGTTCAATTACATGGTGGTCATAGCTTTTATGACAAATGATGTATAAATTTATCACAGTTTTGCTTATTTAGTTGATCTTATCCAGTTTTTTGGGCACAATTTTGTTAGTGGTGTGTTTGAAGATTTGTCCACTTCAGCCAAAATTTGTCAAGTCACAACAAACCATCCACACTTGTGAAATGTTAGTGATGACAGGAAATTTGTCTAATTAATAAAAAATTTTGTTCAGCCTCTGTCCAACAGTTCTCTTCCAAGTTTCCCTAAACACAGCTTTATACTTTCATATATTCATGTAGTCATGATACAACTAGAGTACAGTTTAGTCTTTCAAATGGAACTACAGGTAGTAATGGATATTTATATAATTTCTTTTACAATTAGGAAAAAGGGAGGTCTTACAGATGGTGTTTTGAATTCTTTAGTAAGGTATGTGATGAAATATCTGATTGGGAAATCTCACCATCTTAACCCTTCCACTCTCAAGATCTCATTGGGAATTTTCCTTACTATTTTCCATACAATTCTTATAAAATTAGTTCGGAGGATTTGGTAGTGGATCAACTAATGGTTCCAAATTGATATTTTTCTTTATTCTCACCAGTGGTCTACTTTATATTGTAAGGGGAAATTCTGCCTTGGTTGCTCTGGGAGTTGAAGGGTTCATTATATTTTTGTGAATAAATTAGTCTTAAAACCTTCTGAAAGGATTAACTCAGGGTAAGTCATGGTACTCTGATTTATTCTTTGAAGGTTTTTTTTGGGTCCAAATGATCACAGTCCTGGCCAAGAAGTAGACAGTTTAAAAGCAAGTCTCTCAATCAACATTCGAGAAAGTCAGATGCAGCAAAAATGGTTAGTATTTGTTATGACATTTAAACATACAAAAAGATGATAAACAGAGAGAAGATATTAAACAGGCAGAACACCCCTTTTCTCTTTTTGTAATCAGAGCTACAGGAGTTGAATGAAACCACACATAATTTGAATTTGTTGGTTAAGGGTCACTACAAACATGTAGACAGTTTTAGCAGAGGAAGGACTCTGAGTTGCATGTTGATTTGAAAATTCTTCTTTCAGTTTTTTTTCCTATAGTCAGCTCACAGCTTCAACCTACGAGGTTGGAAAATTTTGTTGTTAATTATCTCTGCTCATCATCCCACCTGTGCAATATTGAATGAGCAATTTTATGGCACAGAAGTTAGTAATACCTAAAAATAAATTAAGAAATAGTGGTGCAGAGACTTATTTTGTGAGTCATTGGTCAAAACTGGATGCTTTTTGTAAATTTACCAACTTCATTCAAAAATGTATTGTGTGTCCTTTGGTCACATGGTTCTCTGTTGGTGTTCACTGTTGTGAAATTCACATCCTGCAAATAACAACAGTCATCTTACGTAGTAGGTATTACAATTGTTAGGACATCATGCCTAAGCTAAACTACTAATCTTAGGTAGCAAAGCTGCCTTAGCAAGCAACTACAAAAAAAGCAAAATACTCACCCTTTCTCTATTACCACTATGTCTTATAACCCTGAAAACCAAAGTGCCTTGCTGTACAAATAATCCTGTTGGAAGAACAGACTAGGAAAAAGAAATTTTACATCATTTTCTGAGTTACTGCAAGACACCCAAACAGTGCACTTCTGCTTGTTATTCTTAACGTTTAGCCTTTTTTATTACAATTGTAAATTTATGATTAAATTTATGCCAAAGTAACAAAAGTGTAAGGCATTAAGTCTTAAAAGAGTGTGTGAATAATCTTGACTATTCTTGGGATTGTTTTAATTGTTTTTATTTTTCAAAATATTGTGTTACAGGCTACAACCAACACTAAAGGCCTTTGGTACTGGTTACATTGTGCAATTGGTGCCCATGCTTCTTGGACAAATAAGACATGTATTTAAAAGACCAGGTTTGTACAAAAGACGTCATCTTTTCTCAGCCTTTCCATTAATTTCCATAAATGCTTTCTATTACATTTAAAATTACTTTATAGCACTATCAGTAACACTGTAAGTGTCATCACCCCTGAATCAAATATAACTTAATAAGTTGTTGATTGTTAATCTAATTATCCTTGTTGGCACTTTAAGAAATGTATAGAGATCAGTATGCAGAGTATGCATACTGTCCACAATGTGTGGATACTTAAGGATTTATAACTCAAGTTCACTTATAACAGTGTGTTTCATAAAACACAAGGTTTGTTATTATGCATTATTTAGTGTTTCTGTCCATTTTTACTTTATTAGGGAAGCTATTGAGATTGTTTTATAATGAGGACTGTCTTAGATGTGGTGTATTCCTGGGAAGTTTTGTTGCAATTTTTAAGGTGTGTGAACTAAACATTGCATTTTAGCAATTTTGCTGTAGTTTGGTATTCCGATTGATGTATGTTCATTCTTTTGGTAGTAATTAATAGAGATGAGTTGTTCCAGCCTTTAGTTATGATAATTTACTTGTTTTTAGTAACTTGTTATTTTGCTCTAGACTGTTGAATGGGTGTCAGGTTTCTTGAGAAATAAAAGAGATGAATTGAATGGATTAATAGCAGGTAGGATTGGTATATCTTTAGTGAAATCTGTGTTTTGAAAACTCTCGCTCATGTTCGTTTATTACAGGGGGTCTGTGCAATGAAAGTTAAGCAGAACTTGAAACCCAAGGAGGATAGAATGAATAATCTGGGCGTTTCTGTTAAATAGAATAATAACGTTTCAAAAGTGAACAATATCACCTTCAATGTCATTGGATAGAAATGAAACTGAATTTCGTCATGAAGCTCACGTCTGCTCGAGGTGTCTGCTATAAACAGATTCATTTTACAGTAATCAAAGGAGGAAAGTTTGGAATTTGGGCTAGTGTAAGCTTGACATACGGTCTGCTTATTACAAGTTGACTTTATGTACCAACAACGTACGTGTTATTGTGGCTGATGAAGTTGAGTTGAACCAAACGAAATTTTTCACCCACAAAGCATCATCTGTATGCATAACTTGCCTATTAATAATAATAATAATAATAATAATAAATAATTATTATTATTATTATTAATAGGCAAGTTATGCATACAGAAACTTGCCTATTAATAATAATAATAATTATTTTTTTTTTATTATTATTATTATTAATAGGCAAGTTATGCATACAGATGATGCTTTGTGGGTGAAAAAAATTTCGTTTGGTTCAACTCAACTTCATCAGCCACAATAACACGTACGTTGTTGGTACATAAAGTCAACTTGTAATAAGCAGACCGTATTTACTACCGTATTTACTTACCGCCTATTTACTTCTTGTAGGTGGAGCAGCCGGTCTGTCCATGATATTTTACAGAAGTTCAAGTATAGCTTTGTACCTAGCTTCTAAAATTTCCGAGGTAGTTATAAAGAAATACATTTTGATACTGAAAAGATGGTAAATGTGATTCTTTAAGAATGCTTGTGAACACTGCTTGTCTGGCAGAAGTAAATCCATTGAGAACTCATTTTCTGTCATGTCACGTCCAAAGCTCAAAATTGTTGAAAAATATTCAGCATATTGATTCCCTTGCTACTTTAGTTACAGTCCATATTTTTGCGATTTGACGCCACTTTTGGGATCAAAAAAGAATTTCTAAAAGACAGGTGTATGGTCATTGGGGGTTGAATTTGATTGGCCTTTATGTAGATGGGACCATTTCCAGTGTACAGATGCGATGTGACTTCACCCTTTTCCCTTTCTTAATGGAATAGAAGCACACT